ACACTAAATTTTAGCTTATGGGTACAACCAGGGCTTAATTTGTAAACAGATCGATGCCGGAATACAAATAGCTGGGCTACGTGTGTGTGTGTGTGTGTGTGTGTGGGGGGGGGGGGGGGGGTCTGGGGGTCCTTTTCTAGGAATTTTTGAATAAAGTAGATGTGATTTCCTGCATTATGGTGTATTTTAACGGATTGTTACCTACCGGTACATTTCTAAACACTCCGAGTCGGTTCTTGTCCGTTGAATTCACTGTACGGCTCCACGTGTGAAACCTCCAGGCGCCACCTCCATCTGTTCATGTCGGCTGCCTGTGGACTCCTGCCCGCGTTCGACTGCCCGGTCAGCTCGGCTGGCACTCACCCACCACTCTTTAGGGGGCGGAGATTTTTTTTAAAGGTAGAGGCAGAAATGCTACTTGAAGAAGCAGCTTGTATGTGATACTAAGAAGTCATAAGTGGCTGTTGTGTTTAAAATGAGTGTTTATATAATTATTTTCATTTTAATATGTTTTATTCGTACAAGGCAGTCATATTTGTTCATAACTTTATTATTAGTAAGCCTGAGAGTTACTGGCTCCAAGCAAAAAGTTACTGGAACGCACCCTATTCAGGTCTCTCTTGTAAATGAGTTTCGGAGGCTCAATGGGATTAACCTGTATAAATAAAGGTTGAATGAATGAAAACTCTGTCAAAATAAGAGAGTTCCTGGATAGGATCCGGCTCAAATTAAGCACTGGGCACAACTCACTGAGTTTTAGCCATTTTTGTGTAAGGTCCAATAGCTGTGGCGGCCATATTGAAATGGATTGACTCCAAAGGTTAATCAGTTGAAAATTTCCTGAAAGTTTCAGTAAATAGTTCATGTTCATAGTTCATAGTTCAACAGAGTAGTTTATAGTAAATAGCTCTCAGAGTATGGGATCAGTCTCAGCTACTACCACACCAAGTTGTCTGTAAAAATGACTAATCTGTAGCCATGTTTGTGGATGTGGCCCAGTGGTTCATGAGATATTTTGCTTACAGGAACGCACACACTGAGAAAGAACTGCAGCTTCTCTGGTTCTAAAGTCAGGAACAGGTGCGCGCCACCGTGACTGCAGCCTGTCCGACTCCCCCCACAGAGGGTCACACCCCTCCCTCACACAGTCACACAGAAAGTTTCATCCGCGTGCCAGGGTAGTAAAAAAAAAAAAAACTCCCCACCTCCTCCTCCCCAGCCGTGGGTTCAGCGCTTCCTGGGCTCCAACGAGCTGAGCTGAGCTGATATTTGGCGCTCGCTCGCGGAAGGAGCGCTCAGCGGAGCTGTCCGCGCGGCCATGGAGGCAGCGCGCGCGGGTGCGAACACTTGTAAGGTGCGTTGCTTCTGTATTTGACAGAATGTTTGAACTTTGTGCCACTTATTCGAAATGGAAAAGCGCATGCGTATTGCGCGTTTTTATTGTTTGTTTTTCATTGTTAGCAAAATATCTCCTGATCCACGCGACAGCTATTAATGAAACTTTTAGAAAGTAATAATAGGGTTATTGGCTTTTGGAGTCAACCCCAATCAAGATGGCCGCCACAGCAATCTATCTTGGCAAACCTTAAAAAAAATGTTCTGGGCCTAACTGTAGACATAATGGTTGAAAATTTGGTGTGGTAGCTGAGACTGATCCACAACTTACACTCTGAGCACTAATCCTGCAAGATTTGTCTTCAAAAATTTGGCACGAACTATTAGTCAACTCAGTCTGTCTGTTAGCAAAATATCTCCCGAACCACTGAATGTGTTTTTATGAAATTTTCAGGAAAGAATCAGTGGATGGTTAACATTTGGAACCAATTCAATTCAAGATGACTGCCACAGCCAACGGAATATGTAAAAGACAAAAATGGCTATAATTCAGACAGTTTTACAGATATTGCCATCATTTTTGGTGTGGTAGTAGCTGAGACTCATTCACTTCACATGACGAGAGATGAGAGCGTGAGATTGGTTTGGTTTGACTAAAACAGCTACAACGACTGCTCAACTTCAGATGGTCTTAGCATGAAAGGCAGCAGCTGAGTTTCTAATTGCGTTCTTGCCAGTATGTTTGCATAAAAGGCTGTTTTTCTTGTTAAGACTTGTAAAACCACAAGTTTATTAATCTTGAGATCTGCCTTCACAAGAAGTGATTTTTAGCAACTGATACTCATCGTCTGAAAGTGACAGAAACAAGTTTCATTTTTGCTTCTCTGTTTCACTGTGGCCCTCGTTTGGCTTAAAACCATTCGGACATTTTTGTGTATCATGCGAGAGGGCCAGCTGTGGTTTGGGTGAGCAGTTTGAACAGATGTCATGGACAGCAGCAGGTGCTCGCTGTCTGTTCTGACAGTTGTTCATAAAGGAGCCCGGAGGTGTCCACGTTAGGAATTACTGTGATTTTATTATTAGCATGCAGGACGTCCCCATCCTGTTGTTCAGTAAGAGACAGTCATTGTCATTAAGTGTTTGGAATAAAGCAGCAAAAGCTAAAATTACTTTTTTTTTTAAAGGTGCACAATCCTTATTAGTGCTTTTATTTTTGTAAACACCAAAAAAAAAAAAAAAAAACATGCAAAGAGTCTTGGCTTTTGGGCATTATTTGCAGAGACACATGGGAATCCTTGTTGTTTCATGTTTGCTGAGCATCATGGGAATGTGAAAGAAAAGTGAATAAATGTGTTTGTGCATAGTTGGATGATTTGTTCTGTCAAAAAAAAAAAAAAAAAATTAGAAAAAAAAGCACCTTGACTGGAAGCAAAACAACTTGGCAACATTACCAGGGGTTAATGTAAAAAAACAAAACAAAACAAAAACTTTTGTAAAGGTTGTGTTAATTCTTC